GCGTAATTCAGATAGATTTTTCTTCTGTCAATAACCCTCTGCCATCTCTCTCTCTCTCACACTTACTTACCTCTATTTCCGGACTTTAACCTATGTCGTACTACTCAACCAACTCAACATCAATCTGACACACCTTTTCTATGATAAATAATCACATGCTGGTAAAATAATTGCCCCTCTGTACAGATACACATAATCGTCACCCGGGAAAAAATCTGCATGCATGACCATGCTTAACCGACCATGAATCAAGCATAATCATGCATGAATCATGAATGATCTTGCCTGGTCAAGCATGATTCATGCAAGGTCATACTCAATCATACATTTAAATACTGGGTGATCATAAACAATCCTGCGTGACCTTGCATGATCCATATACAGTCATGCTCGAGTATGCACGACTGTATACAATCAAACTGAAAGGTCGTGCATGAGCTTGCATAATAAAGCATGTGCATGTAAGAAACTACATATTCATGCTTGACCAAGTCTAATCATGCACGATAACTTCCAACGCAGCTAAAACTATCATGCATGACCATGCATGGTCTTGAATAAACATGTACAATTATTCTTCGCCAAGCTTAACCATACATGACCACCTGTGAGTGGCCAGAAGGATCGCACGAGCCTGCTTGACCGTGCGTGACTTTGTATGATCAATCATGATTGGACTTCACCAAGCTGGGTAGACCTAATTTGTTCAACTCAGTTGATTTAAAGTGAAAATAATATATATACCCTAACTAAGAACCGAACCCGAGCCGAGCGCTTGCCAGACCGGTACCTAACGCCCTACGCCGTACGACCGATAGGTGATTCAACATCTTATTATTCTTATAAGCTAATCCTATGTTGTGATTGAGCATTACGGCTTATTATTTATTATTTACATTATTTGTGTTATTTTATGCTGTTTATTGATGAAAAAGTTTAACATATACTCATTCAAATATATTGATTTCGAAATGATCGTTTGAGCATAATATTAGAATTTATAAAAGATAAATTATGCCTCGAATTTATTATTACAAATAAACAACCATAGACTAAAAATTAGAAAAAATAAATATGAAGGGCGTTGTTGTTTTTTTATACATCAGTCTTATTTTTGTAAAATTGAAAAGTATTATTTTTAAAATTAGAAAACGGTGAAGTAGAATTACAATTCGTGTAATATAAATAAAATTTTCTGGTAACATTACATTGCACTGTGTAATTTTACAATGGAAATTGTAAAAATAAAAAAAAGCTTTTTAAATTTTTTATGAGATTATTGTAATATAAATTACAATATTTTTTTAATGATTTTACATACAATTATGCCGAATCAAATTACAAATAATGTTTGCAAATTTAAAAAGCTTTTTTTTGAAAATTGACGAACAGTTCTGTAATATTACAATGCGTGTTAGGTTTATACAAGAAGATTGTAAAATTACAATACATCTTAGTAGATTTCCTGACAGGTGTTGGAAAATTACATGAATTGTATTTTATTTAGCATTGCTATACACTGATTTGTAATTTTACATATCATTTGTTTTCTAATATGATTGTAATTTTACAAAAATTTTTAACAGTGTATGTCTTCCCGTATTGCTTGTAAAGTCTCATCGTAAATGATTGGAACGTAAGTTTTGCTTAATGTTAACGGATTAGAGATTTCCTGTTTAGTATGTGTGGAAAAAAATTTTGCGAAAGCTGGTTGGCACATTTTGTCAAAACAAATATCAGACTTGATGCATGCAGCGGCTAAATCTTTGAAAAGCGGAGAGTGTCGACTTCTCAAGTTTGGAAGGTGCTGAGGAGCAGGAAAAATTGGCTGGTTTCGTCGGTTGATTGCGTTCTGATGTTTGGCGATTGCCAAATGACGTTCGAATGTGTATCGTTTAAAGGAGGTAAACGAAGTGGTACACAACAAGCATCGGAAACGGTCGTCCTCGAATCTGAAGTGGTCATCTGGTATTTGCAGCATTCTCATAAAATGAAGATAGAGTCGGTTGTTAGGATGATTGAATTGTGCCGCCATTTTAAAAAGTTTTGTAAATTTTTAAATTTTAAACACAGATTGAGGAACAGAAACCACAAAACAGAACGAACAAACAGTAAAAACGAGTAACACAAAAATAAATAATAAATAAATATATATATATATTGGGTTTAAATTATAAGCGTTTTTCGTTGGTGTTGCCCTCGAGGATTTGGCACACTAGAAATAATTTAATTGAGAAATTTGTATTGAATGATTCAATTCAAATATTAGCAAAAGATAATTAAAAATAATTGGTTATACGACAAATACAGATATTTTAGTTTTAAGTAAAATTGTTGAAGGCAAGAGGATACCGGTAACTCTGTTAAATAGATTTAAGTATTATTTTGTGTATATATTTGATTATTATTATATATGACCACCGTGGAGAGTCACCTCCCAAGTCATTTTCTTGTTTATTTAGTTTTTTTATTTGGTGACCTGGACAAAATTACGTGTCTACTAATCGCTCCACTTTCAGAAGGAGCGTAATTTTTGTTACAACTTCGAATCACTAATCGCGCTTTGTATTTAGTTTAATTGTCATTTTCAATTTTCCTTTTGAAAACCCACATAGAGTCTATGATATTTAATCTTTTACCATTTTTCATTTTAATAGGTCGGTCAACTAATGTCCACACACTATTTTTATTTATAAAATTAAGCTCATCTCTCACAGCATTTTGCCAAAATTCCCGTTCTTTTGATTCCATAACATCTTTTTTAAAAGATATTGGATCTTGTTGAATACCCGCTAACATTACATGATAAATTTTATCCTTGGTTTCACTCGTCTCACAATCTATTCTCTCACCAAAAACTAAGTTAGCATCAATTTTATCGTTTACATCAATTATTTCCGAAAAACCATTATCTTTAATTGAGTTCCCGTTATTAACCCTTCGGAACAATCGTGTAGAGAGATTCTCTCACACTTTTTTTAAAACTTTTTTTTTTCTAAATTCAAATGGAATGACCCCCTGAAATTTTTTTTACCTTTCGAAAATTTAATGCTCTAAATGATGCTAATAAAACAAAATTTTTTTTACAATTTTTTACAACTATTCTATACACTCACATTAAGAAGTTCCTCTCCACAATCCTTTCTCAATCCTTTCCTATCAAAATATCCTGTTACGTGAATGTTGGAACGCTTCACGTAATGATTATCCGTAACTCCTATTCTTTCCCGCTTCACAGCATTATTTATATTTGTTAAAAATGTGGAACGCTTCACGATTTTTTTTTAATAATTAGCTCTTATATATATATATATATATATAAGAGCTAATTAACGGAATGAATTAAATTCAACGAATAATAAAATACCACGAACTAAGAAAAAAACATAAAATTAGATCAACACCGATAAATATAAATTATTTAACAATAACGTCGAGCTAAATATTTAATGAACACAAAAATTATAAACAAAATAAAAAAACTCAACAACTCGAAAATAAAATTATGAAAAATACAAAATATTAAGAGAATTTGTTATTTATTTAACGAGTCACTTTTTTTTACTTTTTTCTAGTAATGAAGCACAAATGGCAATGAAGACAATTGACGAAAAGTTTGTCAAAAACCAAAAAACAAACAAAAAGCGACTAATATTTCGAAAATTTGAATCTTAGTAATTTACTCTATAAATTCTAGCTAAAAACTAGTCATTTGAAAGAAAAGGATTAAATGTCAGAAATTGAAACTCAATTTTTTATTTAAATTGTACTTTTCAACCGAGAAGAGCTTGTAACTTTTTCAGGCTGATTGTAAGACAGAATTATCTCAGTGCTTATGAGTAGCTAATATTTTTCTCTATAATTCCTAGTAAAAAACTAGTCATTTGATTGAAAAGTCTAAAATGTCGGAAATTCAAACTCAATTTTTTATTTAAACTAGAATTAAATTGTAAGTTTCAACCAAGAAGAGCTTGCAGCTTCTTTCAGGCTGATTAAACGACCAAATTATCTTAGTAGTTTTTAGTAGCGAATATTTTTCTCCATAATTCCTAGTTAAAAACTAGGCATTTAATAGAAAAGGCTGGAATGTCAGGAAATGAAAATCGATTTTTTATTTAAGTTGCACTTTCCAACCGAGAAATGCTTGTATCTTTTTTCAGGCGTATTGAATGACAAAATTATCTCAGTACTTTCTGGTAGCTAATATTTTTCTCCATAATTCCTAGTTAAAAACTAGGCATTTAATAGAAAAGGCTGAAATGTCAGGAATTGAAAATCGATTTTTTATTTAAGTTGTACTTTTCAACCAAGAAGAGCTTGTATCTTTTTTCAGGCGGATTAAACGACAAAATTATCTCAGTACTTTTTAGTAGCTCATATTTTTTTCTATAATTCCTAGTTAAAACCTAGTCATTCAATAAAAACGGCTAAAATATCGGAAATTGAAACTTAATTTTTTAATGAAATTGCACATTCAACTGAGAAGAGCTTGTAGCTTCTTTCAGGCTGATTAAACGACCAAATTATCTTAGTAGTTTCTAGTAGCGAATATTTTTCTCCATAATTCCTAATTAAAAACTAGGCATTTAATAGAAAAGGCTGCAATGTCAGGAATTGAAAATCGATTTTTTATTTAAGTTGTACTTTCCAACCGAGAAATGCTTGTATCTTTTTTCAGGCGTATTGAATGACAAAATTATCTCAGTACTTTCTAGTAGCTAATATTTTTCTCCATAATTCCTAGTTAAAAACTAGGCATTTAGTAGAAAAGGCTGAAATGTCAGGAATTGAAAATCGATTTATTTTTTTTTATAAAGTTTATTTAACGTCGCACTGACATCATAGGTCCTTGGCGACGGTAATTAATACAGAGAAATAATTTACAACATTTTTATAATATACATGGTACAATTAGAAATACAGACTTTGATATGATTTATTACAAACAGATTGGTAGAAAAGATTTAATTAGGCTGATCTGGGGTCAATAAGTTTTTAAGTTAATAATTTAATTCAAGTGATTTCAGCATCTTAATCAGTTGTAAGCAGTGACGTTCATCGTTGAGTGTGTTTTGCAGTTGGTTCGGAATTTTATATTGGAGTCTCAGCTGGTTGAGTTCGGAACAGGACTCTATGGCATGACTTACCGAGGCTGGTTCATTGCAAGCTGGGCATGTTTTGGGTGTGGATTTGGTCAGAAGGTGGCCGTTGGAGAATTTAGTGTGGCCGATTCTTAGTCTAATGATGGCGCATTGGTTCATTCTTCTCTGTTTATGTGGTCTCGGTTCGTATATGTTTTTTCGGCTTTTGTGTAGGTGTGAGAGGCCGTTGGACCAACGAGTGTTCCATTTGTCGTAGATGTGTTTCTTGGTTGTCTTCTTGAAGTCAGCTGTTGTAGTAGGAAGTTGATGGGTTAAGTCAATGCCAGAGGTTGTGGCTTCTTTAGCTTCTCTATCCGCTAGTTCGTTGCCGGTTATTCCTTCGTGGGAAGGGATCCAGATTACTTTGACTTTTTTTGATAGGTTTAGGTTGATTATTTTGGACTGGCATTGTTGAATGATGCTGTCGGGTGAATTGAAGTTTTTTAATGCTTCGATCACCGATTTTAAGTCGGAAAATATTGCTACGTTATCTAGGTCGAGTTGTGCAGTTATGTTGAGGCTTCCCAGTATAGCAAAGGCCTTACAAGAAAAGATAGAGAAGGAGTTAGGTAGTTTAAATCTATAGATGTCGTCATTGACTATTATAGCACATCCTCGTGATCCATTAAAGATTGATCCATCCGTGAGGATCTTAGTAAATTGGTTGAGGTGGTTTATTTTTTCTTGGTAAAGGCTTCTGTATACTGTTTCTGGGGTGTTTGCTTTTCCAAAGAAGAGATCGTAGATTGATAGGTCAATGAAGTCTGAGGTTGAGGTCCAAGGAGGAAACGGGGGGAGTTTCGGATGGGAGAGGCTGATGTTTTGAAGTTCTGAGTTGGAGGTGTAATTTTTTACCAATGATCTAATTTCTGTGTTTTTTGTGCCAGTATGAGGTTGAGGTCTCCGAGGTATTTGATACATTTCCGGGGTGATGAAAGGAGCTGTTGTTGCAAAGTTGAGTGAACGTTGAATTCTCCTGAGGTCAAGGGGGGTTTCACCAGCTTCTGCTAGAATACTCAGTCTTGGGCTAGTTCTGTAGGCGCCGAGGGCAATTCTTAGAGCGGTCGTTTGAATCGAGTCAAGTTTTTTGAGGTGATGATTCGATGCAAATTGATATAGAGTGCTGCCGTAGTCTAGTTTTGATCTGATCAGTGCTCTATAGGTGTTTTTTTTTTTTTTTTTTCCTTTAGGGGGGGAATCCTTTTTACGGATTCTAGGCATAGATGTTGGCCCGGATATGTGGCGACTCGACGCAGCGTCATACTAAAACTTGACGCTGACGCCCCTACCCACTAAACCCTAAACCCCTTTCCTCTTTCCTCTAATCCCTCATGGAAACCGCCGTCAGGCATTACTTCGTGAGGGGAGGATCTAGCTACTGCTCTTCCTTCTGGTGGCTAAGGTGTTAACTACCTTCCTATATGTATGAGTCCATATATGATCAGATCTGATCATATAT